GAAAATGGTCAGCGGGTTTACTTCACCGAAGAAAATGCGCAAAATAGAGCAGAGCAACCACAAACCACAACACTGACTGCTTTTTTCGAATTGTGTACATCCGAAAATTTTGCTAAAACGTTGCTGTATCAAGATGTGCCCAAATATTATACTTGGAACACATCGACAAAAAAGTTCAACAGAAGAAAAAGAGGTGCAATTGTTCCAGAGCATCCTGGTATATATTCGTCCGATGCATTGGGACGTGTGTATACTGTTCATTCAAATAATGCTGAGTGCTATTATTTGCGGTTGTTGCTGCATACAATCAAAGGGCCGACATCATTCCTTGCATTGAAAACCATCGACGGAGTAGAATGCCAAACGTACAGAGAAGCGTGCTATAAACTGGGCTTACTTGAGAATGATCAGAATTGGAACACAACTCTGACCGAAGCATCACTCACGTGCCATCCAAAGCAAATACGAACTTTGTTTGCGATAATTTTAACAACATGCGCACCATCGAATCCTCGACAACTGTGGGAAATGCATCGTGCAAGCCTCAGTGAAGATATTCTAAGACAAGCACGTGCAAGCGATCCAAGTCAGGAATATTCGGATGACATTTTCAATGAAGCTTTAATAGTAATGAAGGACTTATGCATGTCAATCAACAACAAAGCTCTTTGTCAACTCGGTATGCCAGCACCGACACGAGATAGAAATGCTGTACAAGACAGAGACTTGATGCATCGTAGAAAAGACCAATCGATGGGAGGCGCTCTTATACTTCTTGCAGGTGATTTTCGTCAAACATTACCCGTTATACCACGATCAACGCCTGCAGACGAGCTGAACGCGTGCTTAAAGGCATCGCATCTGTGGAACTATGTCGAAAAAATTACGCTCACTACAAATATGCGAGTGCATTTGCTGCAAGATACGTCTGCCCAAATATTTTCAAAGCAACTTTTAGATATCGGAAAGGGTAAAGTTCATATTGATCGCACAACAAATGAGATATCATTTCCGTCCAACTTTTGTCAAATGCAGCAGAGCATTCAAGACGTCATCGACAGAGTATTTCCGAACTTAACGATCAACTACCGAAATCCGGAATGGCTCCGCGAACGTGCAATTTTAGCTCCGAAGAACGATGATGTTAGTAAATTAAACGGTCAAATTCAATTGAAAATTCCAGGAGAAGCAGTCGAATATAAATCGATTGATACAGTAATGGACAAAGATCAAGCTGTTAATTACCCAACTGAATTTCTTAATTCTTTGGAGCCACCTGGAATGCCTCCTCATTCGTTGGCGTTAAAAGTTGGATCACCAGTGATGCTTATTCGGAACTTGAACGCGCCGAAACTGTGCAACGGAACCAGAGTGATAATAAAAAAATTAACACCGAATTTGATCGAGGCAACAATCATCAGCGGTAAATTCAAAGGCGAAGATGTGCTGATTCCACGTATACCGATGATTCCCAACGATTTACCGTTCGAATTCAAGCGGCTTCAATTCCCTTTGCGTCTTGCCTTTGCTATAACTATAAATAAAGCACAAGGGCAATCATTAACTATTGCGGGTTTGGATTTGAAAAATTCGTGCTTTTCACATGGCCAATTATACGTCGCCTGTTCACGAGTTGGGACACCACAAAATTTATATATTTACACACCAAATGAAAAAACTAAAAATATTATTTATTATTATTATTTATTTATTTATTTAAATACATGTGTTTTTCTTTGGCGTAGCAACGCGCGCCGGGTATTGCTAGTTATAAAATAATCTCAGATTAAACCAACCTAGGTTTATCGATTATACTTGCGAAGAAGATGAGGAATGTCAAATGTAAAAGTAAAAAAAATTTGAGGCTAGCAAGGAAAAGAGGTTTGTCAAGGTATTTTTAATAAAATATTAAGTTTAAATATATTTAAATAGCATAATGTGTAGCAAAAAAGTAGCCACGGTGGCACAGAGAAGAAGCTTAACTTTTCCTCGAGTTGTGTGAATAACAAGCACAACTAGTGATAAGACGATACGAGTACTAAGTACAGAATATCGATACTTTTCATGAGAACTGAGTAGTATCGAGAACTCGATACTTTTTGACAAGTACTGAATAAATATCACGAATACCAAAAAGAATCGACATGCTAAAGCTTTTTTAATAAACAAATTTTTAAAAATTACATACAAAATTTCGTTCTTTCAATTACATTGAAAATTTTTTCAAAATTATACAACATCATTGTAGCGAACAGTCGAAAATTATCTACATCCAATATTAATGTCATTTAAACTCGAGAAACAGCTTTAAGGTTTTGAATTTACAAATGCTCCCAAAGTACGTAGTACATAAGATGTCATTGCGACGTTGGGCTCGGTTAAAAATTCTTGAATAATTGGAAAACGAATCTCTTGATTTCAACGCGAGTTTGTACTGATTGTCAAAATGATGTGTTTGTTGTATTTTGCTTTGTTCTGATGGTCAACAGGCTTATAATTTGTTGGTGTTTCTTGGGCTGCCGTTACCACTTTGTATGAATTCGGATTAAGCTTATCTTTCCTTTAGATAATGGCTTTCACCACATTTTTTTTCTGGGTTTCTACATTTCCATGTCATTTTCAAAGTAAAGTGATTTATAAAAACATACTTATAAAATATTTGCTTTTAAAAACTTTGAGTAAAAAATATTTATTTTGTGCTTGTAGAAGTAAACTAATTACATGTTTGTTCCAAAAACTCCTTTAGAAATGCTTGTTCGATCAGGTTTCAACTATTAAAAGCAATGCCTGTTTAATTTACAAATAGAAAGAGGCCATAACAGCAAAACAGCCTTATGTTCACTTTTCGCGTTTGCCCTAAAAATATTTGAAAGTATGAGCATTATCGACACTTTTTTGCAAATATGAGTACTGGCATCGATTTTTCTTTACAGTATTCTAAATGAGTACTAGTATCGATACTATTCTAAAAAGTTCTATCACTAAGCACAACCAATTTGACAGCTAACGAGCTTTCATTGGGATTATATTTATATGTAAACGTACTTTTATTCTTTGCCGTACGCATATGTTTACACATCAAATTTCATGAGTACCTAGTACTCACGCCTTTTTTTATTTTATTTATTAACCACTTATAAGAGTTTAACTATTGATTTTCATATTCACAATGCTCAGTTAACAAAAGTTTAAACAAATTAAAAGTTTAAATAATTTTTTTTTGTGGAACGAATTTCAAATTTGAATAGAAAAGTCTTGATTTTTAGAATTTGTATATTTTCAGGCGATATGAATTTCCATAGTTAACTATGTAACTCTGAAGCAGGGCTGCCAACCATACTTGGCTAAGAAGTGCCATATTGAGGATAAAAAAGTGGATGTGCCAAATAGAAAAATAAAAGTGCCAAAAAAGGTGCCATTATTTTTAATTCTTCCCATTTAGCATTAAAATTAGAAACACATTTCTAAAACAAAAATTCAATGCCAAAGTAAGATAATCCAGTTGTATGCACTATAGAAATTAGAAAATTTTAGTTGAGAAAACGAAGTACACGCGAAGGATTTCACAAAAATGTATTGAAATATTACTATTTTTCAAAAGTGCCATTTTGCACTTTGTGCCAAATTGAAAAATTAAGTGACATTTGAAGTAAAATAAATGACAAGGTTTCCGCCAAGTTGGCAGCTCTGCTCTGAATATAAATTCATAGTTAAACTTGTGTTGGTGGTTAAGTTAACAAACGTTTAACTAAGCACGGTGAATCCGGCCCTTAGTCTTGTCTGTATAAAATTTTGCAATAGACATTAAATAATTCAACTTGCAGTGAAAAGAGAACAGAAGACTATGCAAGCGAAATGTTGTTGGCNCCCACGTGATCTGTCAAATACTAATGCATGAAAATCCTAACCTCAAAAAAATCACCCGTTAGTATATACATTCCAGTAGAAATTTTATGCATACGACATCGCTGTTGGTGGCATGAGCTTGCTGCTGTGTGTGTATATGTTACCGGCCAAACTCGATCTTAGAACAAACTAGTTTTTCCTAGGCTAAACTAGTTCTACCTAGATCTAATACACTGAAGAGCAAAACTGGAACAATAGAACGGAAAGTTAAGTTTGTGGTAATGTACTTCTTCAGTTTATTTACTTTATGGTAATTCAAACTTGCATTTCGCCTTACCGATGTTTAACTAAACGTTTGACCATACAAATTTTAAGATTCGCATATGGAAACTCAGAAAAAAATTACCAAACAAAAATGAACTGGATTGTTCCAGTTTTGCACCCTCTTAGTATTTGCGGAATTTCATAATTTAAAGAGGAGTTCTGGCCAATTTCCTGCAATTTTGTAATCAAGGCGCTTGGGATTTTCGCTGTGAGTGCTTTAAGTGCACAACCCAAGCAAAAAGAATTTAAAGTTTTTGCAAAACGGCCAGAAAGACTACGCTATAAAGAAAGAAATCATATCGGCCGAATGTCCGTTTTATGGTTATCTAAACAAGCGATAAAAGGGCGGACCTCAGTCTGCAAGATCAAGAGACCACAAAAAATTGCAATTTGCTAGGCTAGGCATACCAAAAATCTTTGGTTCAAAATCAAAAATTACTGCTTTTTCCCCACAAAGCAAGTGACTGGACATTATGTAAGACATGGGAACAAGTTATTGCAGCACAAAGATAAAGAGGAGAAAGCCTGCTTTGACATCCAGAAAAATTTTTTGTCAGAAACGCATTTTTACTAAGAAAAAACATTGGATTTGTATTATTTTGAAGCGGGAATTTACAAGTTCTTCATAAACGACCACATTATTCCACCAAAATTTACTATTGATTAGGGCGCGGCCCTTAGTTTTTTAACTCTGAGGATAAAATGAAACGTTTTCAGTCGAAATATTGATTCAAGTGCTGTGTACCTGCATCAGAGATACGCCTAACGTCCAAAAATATTTAAACTATTAGGTTTGTATGTGTACATTTAATGATGTAGGGCCGTGTTACGCCTTAGGGAGTAAGAACTGTGGTAAAATCGACGGTAAAAAGAAAAGTGACAACAAATGAGCATTTTCAAAGAATTTGGCAATTTCTGAGGATATTTTTCGCAGACTTTTATCAATTTTACCAGGACAATGATCAGAAATATCCCCCGAAAGTGGGGCCAAATAGGTATAAATCCCAAGTTTTTATAATCATGGAGTGACCTGCGTAAAGCCCAGAATTGATTCAACAGAAAACTTATGGAATTGTTTGAAAATGCTGCTGTTCAATTACGAAAATTCGCCCAATCGCATGCAAGATCTTGGGCATGGCGTTGAAGAAAACCGGTGCGCGTTCTCAACAGATTTCGTCTAAAACCTGTGCAAAAGTATCCCAAGATTACCATAAAAGCTAAAATATTCAAATTGGTTATGGCCAATTTATTAAAAGTCAAGCAAATGGTAAAATTTTCTGTCGGGTGCAAAACTGGAACAATCTAGTTGCTACGTTTTTTTGCAATTTTCTTCTTTATCTGCTTGTATTAATTATTGTTTTTAAGGCCTTCTGATGGAATAAACATTGGAAATGTGAATTCCAAAACTAGATTACAAAAAAGTCTTCATATATTGCAAGAAAATTTACATTATGTATTACTGTTCCAGTTTTGCTCCTCAGTGTATATCCGTCTAATGCGGAAACAAGTTGGTCGCAACAATATTGTGGACCGCGTACCTGGAGTTGGACTGATGGAGGCTATATTTTTGAAGTGCGGCCGAAGGCCGCCTACGCGGAAGGGTTTCCGCAAAAATACTGTCGCCTCTGATCTAGTTTAGCCTAGGCAAAACTAGTTTTTCCTAAGATCGGGTTTGGCCGGTAACATATATGCCAGTATAAATGAACCTTCATTTCCATTTAACACGTGTGGTTTCTGAGAACGTATGCATACTCTAACCATACACTTGTAGTACTGCTGTATGCATATGGCTGTATTAATGTTTCAAACATACAATCAATGGAACAGTATTCAAGCATTCTTACAAGATACGTATCCCCATATGTAAATGCTACTTTTCTGATACATTTTCATATACGGGGGCATACAAAAAAGTAGCATTTACATATGCAAATGCATATCTTTTAAAAGCCCGCTAGTGCTGAAAATATTATCGCACAACACGTCCGTTCACTAAAATTTTTGTACAAGACTGAAAATATTACAAAAATTCCTCTTCAAATTTATCAAGAAGTGTACTTAAAACAATTGCAATTCGCTAGAATTTGAATTATGTGGAAATTCATGACTACGCATGAGTTGTTCACACTAATTCACTCATACATAATTAGTCTGTTCCTTTGAACTTCGGACTAAAATCTGTGGAACTGTCAAACTACAATTTTACGCTCTCAAATGAGAGTAAAAGGAAAACAGATGCAGAAGTGCATAGGAACGCAAAAAGCACTATTTCCTGTAAAAACGTCAGATGGTTTGTTTACCTGTCATTGGTACTACACTGATTTGGCTGAAATATCACTAAATAATTATTAAAATCTATACATATTCAAATATTTCGTTGTTTACTACCATTTTTTAACAAATATAAGGTTCTTTGCTTTCACCGCTTTCTGTTTTTGTTTGCACATGTAAATCAGCTGATCGTTTGACACTTTTCATGAACTTAAAGGAAAAAAAACTCCGGACTAAATCCTGTAACTTCTGACTAGGAACAGTTGCTCAGTTACTCTCTCAAATGTGTTCCCACTTACAGGTTTTATGTCAATAGGAACGACTTCCTGTAAGTTCTGACTAAATCCTGTAAACCGGACTGCTATTGGAACAGACTAAATGTGACCAACTATTTCATACCTCAACCAAGAACAGAGAATGAAAACCAAAAATAGTATGAAAGTAATGATTTTTGATTTTGATTTGTAAAAGCAGAATATGCAAAAACGGTAACAGTGTACCAATTCAACAAATGTATTTTATTAATTCAAAATCTATACTATTTATTATTCTGAGACAAGGCGCCCATTCCCAGCGATCTACTAATCGTACAGAGACAAGTCATGTATCAAGTTAAAATGTTCGATCTGAGACTTTGCACGAACATTTCGCATTAAAAAATCATTAGACCACTTTTGAAATATTTGCATGGAATATTTGTTTAAGTTTTACATTAAACAAAGCGTTCATTTCTATAGGCAGCAACTGTGGAGCGCTCTGAATATGGATGAAAAAGGACGCCCACAGCAACACCTTGAATGGGTGTTTTCGGAGCGCTTCGAATACAGAGTCAGAAGAGAGTCAAAGTGTTATTTTTTTATCTTCTTTTTTTTGTTTCCAACCTAAAAGGAACTCATTTTAAACAAGATATAAAATATTTTTGATTTACTTCGGGATTTTTTCGTTTTGATCTGTTTTTTACTGAATAATATGTAAATCATTTTTTAATTTAGCGTTTTTTTTCAATAAATAGAAACGATGCAAACACTTTAGTACTTACCAATTATAAACCAAATTAAGAACATTTTGAAAACCGGCCGTTTCGGTCTATTATCGGACTCCGCTGGTATGCTGGGAACAATATCTTCGAGCAATTTAATTTATTTGTTTTAAATTTTACATATGAATGTACATATGTATATGATTTTAAAATGCCGGAAAACTTAAAAAAATCATTGCCGACGAACTATTTTAAATAAATGTGAAATTATTCCAGATTTCTTTAGTTAGAGAAGGTCGGAAACTCTCCCCAAACCCAAAAATTAAGATAAGTACAATAAGAGTATATTTTGCGAGATGTAAGTTTAATCAAAAAAAGCACTGAACGATAGTTAGTAAGGAAATGGTTAATATGTTGCCCGGATAAGAAAATGTTTACTGTGGCATCGATACTGTCGTTTCTGAATATCCAAGGAGCAAGTAAGATCCGCCACAGAATTTTTAAACTCTCTAACACCTTTTAATTTTTTTGATTGAGCAGCCATTTGTAATGAAATTCGTCAGCTACATAGAGAAGTGAAGTGATTGAAAGTCATAATTTATGTGTTGATCTATGAGTACCTTTCTTAACTGAGATTACTAACCTTTTGAAATTTTTCGAAACAGTTAAAGAAATTTGAACTTAAAAGGTAGTACCAAGGCATATCAAAGAGGTATTAGAGAAAAAAAAAACATTAATGTGTATTTTGTTTTTGCTTGTTTATCTAAAGTGTCAAAAACTATTCTGATTTTGAGTAAAAATTAAAAATAAAATTTGGGAAAAAATGGTGCGACTTTCTTTCTTAGAAAATTTTGTTTACTTCTCGATCCATCATTTGCCAGACCTAGTAATCAGCTCAAATTACATATTTTTTACTATTGTAACGGGAGAAGTTACCGTATATATTTTTTTATATGTACAGTGTTGAACAAAAGTTTTGGCACAGTAAATTTTCGCATTACATATATGCGATAATTTTTTATAAAAACATAGTTCTTACTACACCAAAACACAAAAAAATCAAATGTGTAAACCTTGCAAAAACTCAGGAAAATTCAATAAATCTACATATTAATTGCAATTTTATATTCAGATTTTCAAGCAACTTTAAACTTGCACTTTGATAAACAAACATTGAATGGATTATTAAACTGCATACTTGGAATTTTTCTAAACAATACTTTGCCTATATTGCGAAAAATTCACTATTGTTCATTACTGTAAGTAAATAAAACTTTAACTTTAAAAACCCAAAAAAAAAAATAAATAAAGTTTTACAAAATTTCAAAATAATTTTTCGAATCACAAATTTTTTTATGATTAACAGTGTATTTATTTTTTTTTTGGTTTTAGATCCTTTTTGCTTTCAACACGAGGTATCTTTTTTCTACTTTCTATTGTCATAGCCATAATTTCCTCTCTATTTTTATCAATCAATCAATCAATTTTATAATTTTTTTCCGGCATTTTTCCTAATTACAAGAAGAGCTTTATAAAACTTTTATAACACCAAATGTTTATCAAGCTTAGGATTTTGTGTTATCCGGGCAGGCTTATTAATTTAACCAGAGAATATATTTCGTTTATTAAGTTTACCCAGTGGTTAAAACTTGTTGAATTTTTATTTAAAATTTTCGGTAAGGAATAAGCGAGTGGATGAAAAATATATAACGGTAAGAACAGCNAAAAAAAAAAATAAATAAAGTTTTACAAAATTTCAAAATAATTTTTCGAATCACAAATTTTTTTATGATTAACAGTGTATTTATTTTTTTTTTGGTTTTAGATCCTTTTTGCTTTCAACACGAGGTATCTTTTTTCTACTTTCTATTGTCATAGCCATAATTTCCTCTCTATTTTTATCAATCAATCAATCAATTTTATAATTTTTTTCCGGCATTTTTCCTAATTACAAGAAGAGCTTTATAAAACTTTTATAACACCAAATGTTTATCAAGCTTAGGATTTTGTGTTATCCGGGCAGGCTTATTAATTTAACCAGAGAATATATTTCGTTTATTAAGTTTACCCAGTGGTTAAAACTTGTTGAATTTTTATTTAAAATTTTCGGTAAGGAATAAGCGAGTGGATGAAAAATATATAACGGTAAGAACAGCCCATATATACATATGCATATGAAAGAATACACTCATGCAACGACTCTGGCCATTGTGTGTCACTCCTTTAAATTATAGATATTTTTTTCTTATTGTATTAAAAAAATAACGTTCGTAACACTTTAATAAATATTAATCCGTTTATTAACTTAGTATATAGAAGATGACCTGGTGAACTTCATATGAGTAGTCCACTTGCAAACATCGTTATGTGATTTTATAATAGAAAGCCATATATTTGAAAAAACGACTACGACAAGAAGTAACATTTCAATTGAATCTTTTTTATTATTAGCTGAAAATTTGGATAAATATGAGCCTTATAAAATTGTAACATAACATAACATGACATAAGATAATATTAATAGTCTATACGACCTAAAGCAGTTTCCTAAGTTCATCAGAAGCTGTATACTTTTGAAAATTTATAAGTAAGTATGATAGCGACTTTTGGAAGAAGAGTTAACATGTGATGCTACTTTTTTCAAAATATAAAAAGCTTTGCACTGTGTTGTTAGTGGACATGAAACTACTTTAAATACTGGTACGTAATTCACCAAAAACTAAAAATCGATAAAATTTTACATAGCGCACTTTGCAAGTGGACTACTCATATCATCTATAATTTATTTGAATTTCGCTTTGAACAATTATAACAAATCTTCAAAAAGCAATACAATGAGATCATTAATACTGCCTGCTGTTATAGCTGATAAATGATTCCACACCTATGAGATGTGTCACGCCCCTTTTTACAAACTCATTTATAT